GTTGTGTGATGCCTCCAGCTTTGTCCTTTTTGCTTAGAATTGACTTGGCTATGCGGGCTCTCTTTTGGTTCTATATAAAGTTTAAGGTGGTTTTTTCCAGTTCTGTGAAGGTCACTGGTAGCTTGATGGGGATAGTGTTGAATCTGTAAATTACTCTGGGCAGTATGGCCATTTTCACGATATTGATTCTTCCTAACCATGAACATGGATTGTTTCTCCATCTGTTTGTCCTCTCTTATTTTGTTGAGCAGTGGTTTGTAGTTCTCCATGAAGAGGTCCTTTATGTTCTTTGTTAGTTGTATTCCTAGGTATTTTATTCACTTTGTAGCAATTGTGAATGGCAGTTCGTTCTTGATTTGGCTCTCTTTAATTCTGTTATTGGTGTATAGGAATGCTTGTGATTTTTGCACATTGATTTTGTATCCTGAGACTTTACTGAAGTTGCTTATCAGTTTCAGGAGATTTTGGGCTGAGACAATGGGGTCTTCTAGAATACAATCATGTCATCTGCAAATAGAGACAGTTTGACTTCCTCCTTTCCTATTTGAATACCCTTTATTTCTTTTTCTTGCCTGATTGCTCTGGCTAGACTTCCAGTACTATACTGAATAGGAGTGGTGAGAGAGGACATCCTTGTCTAGTGCCAGATTTCAAAGGGAATGCTTCAAGTTTTTGCCCATTCAGTATGACATTGGCTGTTGGTTTGTCATAAATAGCTTTTATTATTTTGAGATACGTTCCGTGGATACCTAGTTTATTGAGGGTTTTTAGCATAAAGGGCTGTTGGATTTTGTCAAAGGCCTACGCTGCATCGATTGAGATAATCATGTGGTTTTTGTCTTTGGTTCTGTTTATTTGGTGGATTATGTTTATAGACTTATGTATGTTGAACCAGCCTTGCATCCCTGGGATGAATCCTACTTGACCATGGTGGATAAGCTTTTTGATGTGCTGTTGCAATCTGCTTGCTGGTATTTTATTGAATATTTTTTCATCTATGTTCATCATGGATATTGGCCTGAAGTTTTCTTTTCTTTGCTGAGTCTCTGCCAGGTTTTCGTATCAGGATAACATTGGTCTCATAAAATGATTTGGGAAGGATTCCCTCTTTTTGGATTGTTTGGAATAGTTTCAGAAGGAACGGTACCAGCTCCTCTTTGTATGTCTGGTAGAATTCGGCTGTGAACCCATCTGGACCTGGGCTTTCTTTGGTGGTAGGCTCTTAATTGCTGCCTCAACTTCAGGCCTTGTTATTGGTTTATTCAGGGTTTTGACTTCTTCCTGGTTTAGGCTTGGGAGGATGTAAGTGTCCAGGAATTTATCCATTTCTTCCAGGTTAACTAGTTTATGTGCATAGAGTTGTTTGTAATAATCTCTGATGATGGTTTGAATTTCTGTGGAATCTGTGGTGATATCACCTTTGTCATTTTTTATTGCATCTATTTGATTATTCTCTCTTTTCTTTTTTATTAATCTGGCTAGTGGTCTATTTTGTTGATCTTTTCGAAAAACCAGCTCCTGGATTTACTGATTTTTTGAAGAGTTTTTTTGTGTCTCTATCTCCTTCATTTCTTCTCTGATTTTAGTTATTTCTTGTCTTCTGCTAGGTTTTGAGTTTTTTTGATCTTGCGCCTCTAGCTCTTTCAAATTTTGATGACAGGTTGTCAATTTTAGATCTCTCCTTGCTTCTCATGTGGGCATTTATTGGCATTTATTGCTATATATTTTCCTCTAGAGACTGCTTTAAATGTGTCCCAGAGATTCCCAATGCAAAGAAACTAAGAACCTTGAAAAAAGATTTGATGAAATGCTAACGAGAATAAACAACTTAGAAAGGAATATAAGCTAATTGATGGAGCTGAAAAACACAACACGAGAACTTTGCAAAGCATACACAAGTTTCAACAGCCGAATTGACCAAGCATAAGAAAGGATATCAGAGGTTGAAGATCAACTCAATGAAATAAAACGAGAAGTCAAGATTAGAGAAAAAAGCGTAAAAAGGAATGAACAAAGTCTCCAAGAAATATGGGACTATGTGAAAAGACCTAATCTACGTTTGATAGGTGGGTATGAATTTTAAAGTTGTGTTCCTGTTTTGAAACATGTAGTGATCGGGTGAGGATTTTAGCATCTGCATGCTGGTCAGCATTTTAATTCTGAATTTGGCAAGTGGCAACCAATACCTCATGACAGACAAGTTTCTTAAGGGCCTTCTGCATAAAGAAAAACAAACCTTATAGGACTGTCTGTCCATTTTGGCATCTCTGAGAGAATAAATATAATCACTAATTGTAGCACAACTTCAGAACAGCTTCTGATCAATTCTCACTGAATGCCATTCACCAGTAACCTTTCCTTTTTTTGTTGTTTGTTTTATTTTTGTTTTTGACAGGGTCTCACTCTGCCACCCAGGCTGCAGTGCGGTGGTGCCATTTCAGCTCACTGCAGCCTTTGCCTCCTGGGTTCAACTTATCCTCCCGCCTCAACCCCTAGAGTAGCTGGGACTACATATGGGTGTGTGAGTGCACACCATCACTCCCAGCTAATTTTTTTTTTCTTTTGGTACAGACAGATGGGGTTTTACCAGGTTGCAAAGCAATCTGCCTGCCTCAGCCTCCCAAAGTGCTAGGAATACGGGCATGAGCGACTCACTATGCCTAGCCCCACTTTCCTTTAGGGAGTTTTTAAAATTTATTTTGAAATAGTTTGAGATTTACGGAAAAGCTGCAAAGACAGTACAAAGAGTTCCCATATGCTCTTACTCAATTTCTTATATTATTGACATCTTACATTGTAGTGATGCATTTGTCATATCCAAGGAACCAACATTGGTACATTACTGTTTTTTTTTTTTTTTTTTTTTTTTGAGACGGAGTTTCGCTCTTGTTACCCAGGCTGGAGTGCAATGGCGCGATCTCGGCTCACCGCAACCTCCGCCTCCCGGGCTCAGGCAATTCTCCTGCCTCAGCCTCCTGAGTAGCTGGGATTACAGGCACACGCCACCATGGCCAGCTAGTTTTTTGTATTTTTAGTAGAGACGGGGTTTCACCATGTTGATCAGGATGGTCTCGATCTCTCGACCTCATGATCCACCCGCCTCAGCTTCCCAAAGTGCTGGGATTACAGGCTTGAGCTACCGCGTCCGGCCCTACTGTTAACTAAGCTAGACTTCATCTGGATTTCACCAGTTTTTCTATTAATGTTCTCTTTCTGCCCCAGGATCCTATCCAGGATACCACATGACATTTAATCATCATACCTCCCCAGCCTCCTCCACTCTGTGGCAGCTCCTCAGTCTTTTCTTGTTTATCATGACATTGACAGTCTTTAGGAGTACTGGCCTGGCAACCTGTAAACCTTTGCTTGATTTGAGTTCCTCTGATATTTTCTTGTGGTTACACTGGGGTTATGGGTTTAGAGGAAAAAGAATATCACAGAGACTAAGTGTCCTCACCACATCCTATCCTGGGAACATGATATCATCATGACATCACCACTGATGTTAATCTAGCTCACTTGGTTAAGCCAGTGGTAATGCCAGGTTTCTCCACTCAAGTTACCGTTTTTCTCTTTAAGGAGTTTTTAAAAATTAAGTTTAAATCATAGAAGTAATAAATAAATGTCTTATCCTTGTAAAAAAAAATGAAACATTACCGAAAAGTTAAATTCCCCTTTAACTACTCCCTGTCACCCATCCTGGTCCCCATTCCACCTCCTTACAGGCAAACACTGTTATTGCTTTGAACCTTTTCAATGCATTTACATGCACACGTATGTCCCCATAAAATATACATATAAGTTTGTGTTTGAGGTTTTTCTATAAATGATATATCGTACTATATGCATACCTTTCTGCAACTTGCTTTTTTCACCCAACAATATGTCTTGGAGCTCTGCTGTTCTTTCCAATGGCTGAGTTGCATTTTGTCGTATACTACAGATTACACCCCAGCTAGGCCTGTGTGGATCCTCTGGAACCTGTAATTATTAGATCAAGTTACTCATGTTCACGAAAAAAAGCACATTTATTAAAGTGGCTATTTATAGACATTACATACTGCTATTGACCATTGTATTTTCAAAGATATGGTTCAAATTGGTCACTGTTGTTTAACTTCATGGAGTAGTAAAGCAGCAGGAAACACCACATCCAGGTTGCAGCATCAGGGAGCAGTGCTAGAGCCCTTCCTTTGCCTCTTCCCACTGACCACACCAAGGAGAGAAGGAGAGAGCCATCGTATTTTTCTCTGTTACTGCTCCCCTGCATTTCTGGGTCTAATGCGATGTAGTGAGAAGAAGGTGTACTCACACAGAAATGGTGGTGTAGACAGTAGCTCCAATGTGCAAGACATTCAGCGAAACGTAAGACATTCTTGTTCCGGTTCTTCTCATCAAATTCAATAAAACATTCACTTAAAAATTTTTTTCTGATGACAATAGTGACATGTGTTTAACACAGAAAATTAGGGAAATATGGAAAAATACAAGAAAGAAAATTAAAATCACCCCTTATTGTACCACCCAGAATATCAACAGTATTATTAATATTTGATATATATCCTTCTAGTCTTTGTTTCAGTGGATAAACCCATGTAAACAGCAGACACATTTTGGGTGTGGGGAATATATAACAGACTTACTTTTCCTACCTACTTCCCACTCCATTTCCCCTGCCAACTTCTCAGATGAAAATGAGATGTGCAATCAGCAGAAATCTCAGAACTGTCTAAATACATGAACTCGGTCATGCTGACAAAGGGCTGCAGGCATTAAAGGTCAGCAGATTCCCACGCCCAGGGAGTGAGACTGAACACAGATGGGGTTGCCCTGCTGCTTACCTGCACTGCCTACGGTACGCTTAAGGGACTATGCTCCTGGCCTTGGTATTTGCTAAGCAGTTTCCTTTTGTGGGATGTTGTTGGTCCCTTTTGCTGGAGGATGCTGGGCGCTCTCCTTTTTCTGTTCCACCTGATCTGTGCTCCCTTCCTTTCTTGCAGGCCACCTGCATGTCCAGCAGTACTTTTGTGGTTTGTTTAGTCAGTTCTTCAAATGTGTTCCACTGTAACTTGACGTCACTTTCTGTCCTGTCCTATGTAATTCCGGGTAATTTTAGAAGCAGCTGAAAGCATCACAATCCCATCAGAGAAAGGATGTGGCTCAGAGCCTTCCTTTTGGGACCACATCAAGCAGTGCTGAAGGGCAACCCGAGAGTGCTACAGGCTGGGAGGCAAAAGGCTCCACTGAACCCCTCTCACCCCAAATTCATAGGAACTGTCAAAATTCAGCTACCCTCAGGGTATATGCTTTCCTATAGGTTTTAAAAACATAATAGAGATGTTCTCTATTTTGGAATGTTGATCTTCTGTTTTAAGGAACAGGAGTGCACATGTGAGTGCACCAAACCTCACAGGATCTTTTCCAGTCCTAGGGTTGTGGGATGTTTACACAGAAATACACTGATGTGTACACTGATCTGCAAGCCAAGTCTACCTACAGGCAGAATGGGCAATCACTTAATGCTACTCAATTGGACAACTTTCTAACCCACTTTTCCTCATATTTCTGTCAACATTTCTCTTCCTCACTTCCTGTCAAAAGCCTGGTAGTCTATTTTTAGAGTCTTGGGGACTGTATTAGTTACAATTAGGTTTGGCTGTTGGTCATGGTAAAATGAAATGACAGAGGATTAAAGGAGGTGGAAATTTTGCTCTCTGTCCCTCATATGAACATTTCATAGTATGATGTACAGAGCTGGTATGGTAGCTTTGCACCTTGGAGCCCTCAGGGCTCTCAGCCCTGTCTATCTTGGAGTTCTAACAACTGTGGCTCCATATTCAAGATCAACGCCCACTCTGAGATGGAGCTCCAGCTGTCACATTCATGCTCTAAGTAACAGGATGGAGAAGGGATGAAGAAGCTGCCTCTACTGGAAATTCTCGGGAACTGCAGCATGGCACTTTACTCCCATGCCATTGTCACGTAGCCACACCTAGCTGCAAGAGAGGCTTGGACATGTTGTGTTTATCTGGGTGATCAGGTGGCAAGATAAATATACAGTTACTGTAGGAAAAGAGGAAAATGGCTTTTGGGGAAAAACTAGCAGTTCCTACGATAAGAACCTGTTGGAATTCCAAGAACCAATCATTAGAATATAACCCAGAGATAGGGGGTTCCTAGCTCAGCCATTGGGTTTCCTAGGTCAGTACTTTTGTGGGGATCGGTGCCACTATGAAAGTGCACACCTTATGAGATTGGGATATATGCCCAGGGACAGGCAGAGAGGGCAGCTAAGAAGAGGCTGCCCAGAGGGCAAGGGGCAGGACCTCAGACCAGCATTTTCTTCCTCACGGCATTAGCTGGGGCTGGGGTGCATGACCACATCCCTCTCAGCATCGGGGAAGATGACTGTGGAAATAAGTGTAAACCATCAATGCTGTGAGAGGTCCTACAGGACTACTGAAGTTCAGAACAGGAGACAACTGGCATCTTGAGCATCTGTCAGGTACCAGGCACTAAGCTGGAGGTTTTATATATCGTCTGTTATTTAACTCTCACAACACCTTATCATTTTACATTATCATGCCATTGTACAAATGTGGAGACAGGCTCATGACTGTAAATGACTGAACCATATAGCTAATACACAGAAAGAAGCTTTATCCATTGAGCTCTCTCAGTACAGAACAAGATAGATTAGAGCGGTTCAAGGTCTTAAACATATACATTCTTGTATCAACTTTTTATAAAGTGAATTACATAAAACACAGGGAGCTAGATGGCTATTATTTAAAAGCTGTGACTACTTTCATGAAACAAAGATTTGTTTAGTAAAAACAGTGACCTCCCTAATTTATTGTAGCAATCCAGATATCAGGTTGAATATGTCAGCTTGAAGTAGAGAAAGCTCCTCTTCTACTTGCTTATCTAAATATGCTTTGGATTATGAGGTTTACTTTTGCAGTGACCTGACTGTGATTTTTGTTAATAATATTGCAAATGTTTATGTAATTTGGTTAATGCTAATTTTTTGATAGAATGAAAAGATGAAGGATGATGACCTCTCCATGAAACAAAATGAAAATGACCTATCACAAATAAGTGTCAGCCAACCTGCTGATGGGCCTCTCAAGCAGATACAAGAGACAGAGTAAATTAAATCATATTGTTGTGACTCAAAAAAGTAGATTAAAACACTGTGGGCCGGGCACGGTGGCTCAAGCCTGTAATCCCAGCACTTTGGGAGGCCGAGGTGGGTGGATCACGAGGTCGAGAGATCGAGACCATCCTGGTCAACATGGTGAAACCCCGTCTCTACTAAAAATACAAAAAAACTAGCTGGGCGTGGTGGCGTGTGCCTGTAATCCCAGCTACTCAGGAGGCTGAGGCAGGAGAATTGCCTGAGCCCAGGAGGCGGAGGTTGCGGTGAGCCGAGATCGTGCCATTGCACTCCAGCCTGGGTAACAAGAGCGAAACTCCGTCGCACACAAAAAAAAAACACTGTGGGGAAAACTGAGTGACTGATTAATATGTAATTTACATGTTAACTCAAAAATATTTGCAGTCAAAATGAAAGCAAGACTTTTAAAACAGGTCAGACAACAAAATTCATGCTTCATCCAAAGATTGGTTTTTTTTGAGACAGAGTTTCGCTCTTGTTACCCAGGCTGGAGTGCAATGGCGCGATCTCGGCTCACCGCAACCTCCGCCTCCTGGGTTCAGGCAATTCTCCCGCCTCAGCCTCCTGAGTAGCTGGGATTACAGGCACGCACCACCATGCCCAGCTAATTTTTTGTATTTTTAGTAGAGACGGGGTTTCACCATGTTGACCAGGATGGTCTTGATCTCTCCACCTCGTGATCCACCCACCTCGGCCTCCCAAAGTGCTGGGATTACAGGCTTGAGCCACCGCGCCCGGCCCCAAGATTGTGTTTTTAATGAGAGTCATTGCTAGGAGAAACTTCTCTTTATATGTATACATATAGAGTAATTATTTCCCCTCAGTACATTTATAAAGGGAAACTGTCATGAAACGCCCTTAAATTAAATAAAATGACTTCAGTTTGGTACATGTGAATTTTTGGAATCACTTTGTGGTGAAATGCACTTATGACATATCTTCTGCCTGCTAAAGGTACAACTATGCAACGTCCCTACAACTGCTGGGCTTGGATGACGGCCCTGAGCCCAGTGATAGCAATCCTATCGTGATGAGAGGGGCATACATGTCCTTTCTGTATCTGCGCCACCTTTGAATCCAAGAACTGCAGGTATGTGGATAGCAGGCAACAGGAATGTCTGGTTGTCTAGAAAAGGGGCTTTTCTGCTATTTCAATAGCAAATACCATATTATGCTTTTGTATTTTGTTCCTTTTTTTTTTTTGAGACAGAGTCTTACTCTGTCGCCAGGCTGGAGTGCAGTGGTGCCATCTCAGCTCACTGCAACCTCCACCTCCCAGGTTCAAGTGATTCTCCTGCTTCAGCCTCCTGAGTAGCTGAGACTACAGCCGCGGGCCACTACGCCCAGCTAATTTTTGTATTTTTGCTAAAGATGGGGTTTCACCATGTTGGCCAGGATGGTCTCAATCTCTTGACCTTGTAATCCGCCCACCACGGCCTCCCAAAGTGCTAGGATTACAGGCTGAGCCACTGCACCCGGCCTCTTTTTTTTTTTTTTTTTTTTTAACATGGAATCAGCCCCTTTCCAGGGTGGTGTGTCCCTTTCTCCACAGTAGGGTTGACCTGCCATCAAGTTGTATTCTATAGGGTGAACTAGACATAGGGCGGGTCCTGATTCTGTTCTTTCTTTGTTTCAGAGCATCTGCTTAGGAATTTTGAATTATTTCAGATCTGTTGAGTGAACGCTGACAACACTTTGGGTCTTACCTTGGTTTCAGAGAACCTGGTCCCCACCATGGAAGATAGTTCCTGGGTAAATATGGCAAAAGGAGGTCTGGTCACATCACAGGGCCTGGGCGCTCACCACTACGTCCATGAGACGCCCGCCGAGCACAAGGTGAGGTGTTGTGCTGAGATTTTCTCTTCCTTGATTATCCTGCCTCCCAAAACCACCCTTTAGATAAGACCTGGAATGAATTAACATGACAGAGTAACAGATGGGAGGTTCTTAGGGAAGGGACTTTTTAATTCGAAGAAAATACAAGGTCTGCTTAAGAGCAAGTCACAGGTGGAGAGTGCTCTAAAGCAGCCCTGGAGGCCACACTGGGAAGGAAGAACTAGAGTTTGAGAGGCCTTTCTGTTACTCTGGCCTGAGAACTTGACATCCTTACAGAGAGGCTCTTAGAAAACCCTCCTTGACATTGCTGTATGTATCTTGTTTGCCTCTTTTCTGTTTTCCAAGACTCAAAGGAAAAAAAAAAAAGACTCAAAACAGAAGTAGAAAAAAATTTCAAAGAGCTGAACAATAATTTTATCCCTCTAAAAACCTGCTTTCCCCTTAGTGCTTTTGGTGTTTCTAGAACATATTTTTCTATAAAGTCTATAAAATGTCAATCCTGGCCTGGCATGGTGGCTCACGCCTATAATCCCAGCACTTTGGGAGGCTGAGATGGAAGGATCACAAGGTCAGGAGTTCAAAACCAGCCTGGCCAACATGGTGAAACCCCGTTTCTACTAAAAATACAAAAATTAGCTGGGCGAGGTGGTGGCACATGCCTGTAGTCCCAGGTACTCTGAAGGCTGAGGCTTGAAGGAGAATTGCTTGAATCCAGGAGGTAAAGGTTGCAGTGAGCCGAGATTGTGCCACTGCATTCCAGCCTGGGCAACAAAGCAAGACTCTGTCTCAAAATAAATAAATAAATAAAAATAAAAAGTTCAATCCTACCTAACAATCAAAATTCACATTAACTCCCTTTCTTTGGGAATAAAGTTGAGAATGCTTACATTTTATCGGACTGTTGTAGATACTCTTGCAATATTTTAATATCAATCTCTAGAGAGTTTATTCCTGAAGATAGAGTTTAATGTGAATTTTATCTTCTTAAAAATCGTAGATTGACAAAATTGATTTAGCTACCAAACAAGTGATATTCTAACTAGTGTGATCTCTGACTTATGCTTGTTGTGTTAGAGTGAAATCTTACTGTTAATTGTTGTTCATATGCACACAGTCTAGAACAGCACTGACCAGCAGAAATAGAATGCAAGCCACATACATGATTTACAATTTTCTAGTAGCTACATTTTAAAAAGTATAAAGAAACACGAAATTTTAAATAATATAATTGTTTAGCCCAATGTCTGTAAGATATTATCATTTCTACATATAATCAATATTAATAAATCATTAAGCAATTGTACATTTTTTGTACTGTCTTTAAGATCTGGTATATATTTTATATAGCGACAGCACATTTTAACTCAGACAAGCCACATTTCACGGGCTTAACAGCCACATGTGGCTAGAGGCCACGTGTAGTGAACAGTTCAGCTCCAGATACTGGGAAATATTTTCTTATTTTCCCAACTCAGTCACTTAGAGTCTTATCTTCACTCAATCTGCAGGACACACACAGACTTCCTCTTATCTTCCTTTACCTCTCTACCCTCCTCCCTGGGTCCTAGCTCATCAAGCCCAATTATTTTGGCCCTCAGTAGGCTAGAGAGGAGAGTTAAGACACTTGGAATACAAACATGCTATAAAACAAATCCATCTTTCTTTTACTAATATTGATCCAACCACAGTTGTTGTGTGTTATTATGCTAATGGATATTTTTGAAAATGTTCTTACCAAAGAGCCCTCTTTCAGTCACTCTGTTCTGGGTTTGGGTAGGAGAGAGAAAGAAAGGAGGAGAGGATAGGCAAATACTGTCCTGCTGTATTCATTGTAGGAGGAACTTCTTTGGGTAATATGTTTATTATTATTATTATTATTTATTTATTTTGAGATAGAGTCTCACTCTGTCGCCTAGGCTGGAGTGCAGTGGCATGATCTCAGCTCACTGCAACCTCTGCCTCCTGGGTTCAAGTGATTCTCCTGCCTCAGCCTCCTGAGTAGCTGGGATTACAGGTGTGCGCCACCACACTCAGCTAATTTGTATTTTTAGTAGAGACAAGGTTTCACTGTGTTAACCAAGATGGTCTCAGTCTCCTTACCTTGTGATCCACCTGCCTCAGCCTCCCAAAGTGCTGGGATTACAGGCTTGAGCCACTGGGCTCGGCTCTATTTATTTATTTATTTATTTATTTTTAGAGATGAAGTTTCTCTCTTGTCACCCAGGCTGGAGTACAGTGGCGCAGTGTCGGCTCACAGCAACCTCTGTCTCCTGGGTTCAAGCAATTCTCCTGCCTCAGCCTCCCGAGTAGCTGGGATTACATCTGTGCGCCACCACACCCAACTAATTTTTGTATTTTTAGTAGAGGCGGAATTTCATCATGTTGGTCAGACTTGTCTCAAACTCCGAACCTCAGGTGATCCACCTGCCTGGGCCTCTCAAAGTGCTGGGATTACAGGCATGAGCCACCACACCCAGCCTTAATGCAATATTTCTTTCCTATGCTTTCATAACTGATAGGAATAACAGTGCCTATTTTTGTTCTTAAAAGTTCCTAGCTGCTATTATTTTAGTGTGAGACACTCAAGGAAGTGGCCTTCTATCTGTCTTTAATAGGACCATGTGGTTTAGCTACACCCCGTGGGTGTGACCTTGTCAGTATTTACACCAGGATATCCAGCTCCGGACTGTGTGATTCATCCCATGGAGGGCACAGGAGGCACAGATGTTACTCTCTTGGGTTGAACTCACCTGGCCCAGGGCTGAGGCTGCTGGGAGCAAACCTCTGGGCTTACCAGATCTCAGCAAAGCTCCTAAAATGGAGATCTCTTTCCTGGGCCCAGTGAATTTGGTCCCATGATGAAAGTCTTGGACTAGTAATCAAAGAATGTTTACTCAACAACAATGCCAGAAAAAAAAGGCATCTACCGTCTGTTTTGGACACTTTGTCACTCTGTGAGCCTACTTAAAGGCATGTGGCAGAGTAGAAAGAGCCCCAGAATGAGAGGCAGCAGCCTTTACCTGGCTGTTGACCTTGAGTGTGTCTTCTCAGGCATGGAGGCCGGATACCCTGTGGCATGTTCAGGATCTGCCAGGACTTGACATGCTGGTAGCAGAGGCTGTTGTGAGGAAGTGGTAGGAGATGAGGTGGCAGAAAAGTGGGCCCAATTGTGAAGGGTTAGACTCTCCTTAGGAAGGGAATCTAATTCCAAGGTTGGTGGGGAAACAGAGAATTTTTTTTTTTCTTGAGACAGAGTCAAAGTACTGAGTTTATAGGCATGAGATATCGTGCCCAGCCCATTCTTTTAAATGGGAGAATGGCTCGCTTCATTGGCTTGTAAATTTCCAGAGGATCTTTGCCCATATGTAATCACATTTATTCCCTTCCTTGAAGTCCTTCATGAGTTTCCTGTTTGTCACTAGACAAAGTCCAGGCTCCCTGGTGAAGCTGACAATGTTGGGCACAATCTGGCTGCTGTTAACCTCTCAGACCTCAGTTCTCTCCACTGTCCCTATACGTCTGTCCTTAGGGAGCTGGGCCTAGACCTCCCCTAAATGGGCAGAGTTATCCATACCTCTGGGTTCCCCTGTCCTTCATCTCCTCTTTCCTTGGTAAATGTGTACTCTTATCCAGAGTCTGCTCAAATATCACCTCTCTGGGAAGCCTCCCTTGACATCTCCATGCAGACCTAAGTGCTCCTGGCCATGACTTGTCTACTTCCCCTATAGCTCTGAGCACATTGCTGTGCTTGACTGTTGGCCTGTTTGTTCCCACAGGCTGTGAGCCTATTGCTCATTCATTCATTCACTCGTTCCACAAACATTCTGACCAGTAAACATAACTAGGCACTGTTCCAAGCACTGGGGATTCAGCAATGAATCAAATGGACACAGATTCTGCCATCATGAGACTTTTTTCATGAAGAAATACAGACATTAAATTAATAAGTAAGTAACATATATAGAATGTTCAATGATTTGGCATCAGAGCTTCCACGGACTTCCAGAATGTGTCTGGATGTATTTGAAAGGTACAGCTTATGTGATTTCCAGATAGAGAAGTGAAGTTTGATTCCAAAGCTTTGGCCTAACCATTTGGAAGTTTAGAGTTGCCATCAACTGAGATTTGGTTGAAGCAAATTTGTTGGGAAGATCCAGATCTCAGTACAGGACATGAAAAGTTTGAGATGCTTAACTGATGTTCAGGTGGCAAAAGGTGGTAGAGAGTTAGATATACATCTTTCACATTGTAGGTATCAAATGTTCATTTGATAAAAGAAAATCTCTGCCTATAATAGAATGGTTGTGAGGTTACAAAAAAACTATGCACATGAAAGTGCTTTGCAAAGTATATCATGCTGTTCAAATGCAGAAAAATTAGCTGTGATAAGAATAATATACTCTGCAGACTAGAAAGCAGAGCACAAATATATTTGATTTTCTTTTTAAAAGATTATAGCCAATAGGTTGAGTCATTTACCTAACACATTTTGATGGGATTCTTAGGCTAAACTATTATCATCCAAAATTAATGCAAGATGATTCAGAAAAAGGAAAACTAGTCAAAGAAGTATTTTCTATATTGCCAAAAGGCCTAAAATTCACATTAACAAGTGATGGCAGAAGCCACTATGGTGAAAGGAATGACAGGCCACCAATTTTTCTATAGTTACTATATTTGGCAAATAGTTATCTTGGCATCAGTTAATTTTCAAACTAAAACATGTGAGTCATTGCAAAGGTCATATTATTTCTTACCCCAACAGATAATTATTGCCCTCTTCCTTTTGCCACTCCTCCAAACATAATATTGAAGGATCAACTCTCTAGACCACAAAACCATTAGAGGGAGGGTCTTCCACATGACTGCGGAAAAAATGAAAATAAACAGGAAATAAAGAAACATTATAGTAACTGAGCCATAACCCTGCATGAAGCAATTTGGTCATCTGGTCTTTAAAGTGCATCCCCTGTGGCATAAGTATGTATTTCAGAGACATGGGACTAAGGGAGGAAGAGAGCAAACTATGGCAGAAAGAGAAAGAAGATGTATGCCTATATAAAGGGTTTGGATGATGGGATGTGTATGGGAAAGTGGAAGAATGACCATTTAAATAGATGATGGCATTGGAGTTGGCATCTTGACAATGCTATTGCTTTTCATCAGCTCAGAACTTAATCCACTTGCCATTGCCTGAAAGTCTTATAAAATTCTGCTGTACAAGAACTTTGGGAAAGGTCTTTTCCAGTACAGTGAATAAGGCATAACATGTTAAGTTGTTTCTTTTTTCCTCAAAGGCAAGCTTATTTTACATAACAAGAGACAGGAGCTAAATCCTAATAGAAACCAACATGGTAATTTATATATCTTAGCTGTTTGATTTTTTTTTTATGGAACATGTTATTTTCTCAGCATGTTTTCTATTTTCCACTGGTACTAATCATTTTGTAAGAAATCATAATTTCAGGTTGGGCGCCGTGGCTCTCGCCTGTAATCCTAGCACTTTGAGAGGCCAAGGCAGGTGGACCGCTTGAGGTCAGGAGTTCAAACCCAGCCTGACTAACATGGTGAAACCCCATCTGTACCAAAACTACAAAAAATTAGCCAGGCACAGTGGCACATGCCTGAAATCCTAGTTATTCAGGAGGCTGAGGCAGAATAGCTTGAACTCAGTAGGTGAAGGTTGCAGTGAGCCAAGATTGTACCTCTGCACTCCAGCCTGGGTGACAGTGAGACTCCATCTCAAAAAAAAAAAAAGGATAATTTCATTTTTGGAATTCTAGTCAAAGGAAGCTACTAATTATTAGAAAGTTTTATGCTTAAAGCATAGCAAAAAAGCAAAGCAAAACAAAAGACACTGCTAAAGGAATGATGAGCGATGAAGTATCCTTTCAATGAAATATGAACCATAGCTTTTTTTTTTTTTTTTTTTTTTTGAGATGGAGTTTTGCTCTTGTTACCCAGGCTGGAGTGCAATGACGCAATCTCGGCTCACCGCAACCTTTGCCTCCTGGGTTCAGGCAATTCTCCTGCCTCAGCCTCCTGAGTAGCTGGGATTACAGGCACGCACCACCATGCCCAGCTAATTTTTTGTATTTTTAGTAGAGACGGGGTTTCACCATGTTGACCAGGATGGTCTCAATTTCTTGACCTTGTGATCCACCCGCCTCGGCCTCCCAAAGTGCTGGGATTACAGGCTTGAGCCACTGCGCCCGGCGAACCATAGCTATTGTTTAGAAATGCTCAGATTTACTTGTTAGAAGATGTCTCTGTTTCTGTTTGAATGGTTAAGAAACAGCATGTAAAAACTAATTATACAACCATAGAAGTGAAGGGACCCAAAGAGCGACCCCATCCACCTTTCTGATATTGGCAGTTAGCAATCTAAGCAGATGATAATCTGCCCTGTTTGTTAAGATTCCAAAAGTGTTCCTATAGTTGTACTATAAGCAATGCCACATGCACAAAGCAGTTGATAGGTCTTCGGAGAGCCAGGATATGACTGCTTAAAATTTATAGATAAAAGGATTCTATACAACTAATTACTTAGCATAGTTTTTTTTCTTTTCTTTTTTTTTGTTTATTTGTCTGAGACGGAGTCTTGCTCTGTTGCCAGGCTGGAGTGCAGTGACGCAATCTCGGCTCACCGCAACCTCTGCGTCCTGGATTCAAGCGATTCTTCCGCCTCAGCCTCCCAAGTAGTGGGGACCACAGGTGCGTGCCACCACATCCGGCTATTTTTGTGTTTTTAGTAGAGACGGGGTTTCACCATGTTGACCAGGAATGGTCTCCATATCTTGACTTCATGATCCACCCGCCTCGGCCTCCCAAAGTGTTGGGATTACAAGCGTGAGCCACCACGCCCGGCTTAGCATAGTTTTTATAAGAGTTAATAGATGTAAGTTGAAAGACTGGGAACCACTGGTTCCACAGTTTAAATGACTCATGAATAACAACTAAGAAAATCAGATTTTTTTTTTAATGTAAAAATATAATCTCTCTAGATATATATTTAAAAACAGAAAATAGGCCAGGTGTGGTGGTTCACACCTATAATCCCAGTTCTTTGGGAGACTGAGGCAGGAGGATCGCCTGAGGTCAGGAGTTCGAGACCATCCTGGCCAACATGGTGAAACCCCATCTCTACTAAAAATACAAAAATCAGCCGGGTGTGGTGGCACACCCCTGTACCTAGCTGCTACTCAGGAGATTGAGGCAGGATAATTGCTTGAACCCAGGAGATGGAGGTTGCAGTGAGCCAAGATCATGCCACTGCACTCCAGGCTGGGTGACAGAGTGAGACTCATCTCAAAAACAAACAAACAATCAAAAACCAGAAAATAACAAGTGTTGGTGAGGATGTGGAAAAATTGGAACCATTCCTTGTTCACTGTTGGTAGAAATGCTAAATGATGTAACTGCTATGAAAAACAGTATGCAGATTCCTCAAAACATTTAAAATTGAATTTCTATATTATCCAGAAATTTTACTTCTGGGTATATACTCAAAAGAATTGAAAGCAGGGGTTTAAAAAGTATTTGTACACCTATGTTCATAGCAGCATTATCCATAATAGCCAAAAGGTGGAAACAACTCAAGTGTCTATCAACAGATGAAACAAAATGTGATAGTTTCATAGTTATTATGGAATATAATTCCTCCTGAAACAGGAAGGACATTCTGACATGTGCTATAAAATGTATGAATCTCGGTGGGATTGTGCTAAGTAAAATATGCCAGTCACAAAAGAACATTGTATGAGAAACCTAGTATAGTCAAATTCATAGAGACAGAAAGTAGAATGGTGGTTGCCAGGGGCTTGAAGGATGGGAAAATGGGGAATTATTGTCTGGTGGGTACACTGTTTCAGTTTTGCAAAATGAAAATAATTCTGGAGATGGATGGTGATGGTTGCACAACAACATGAATGTACTTAACGTCACTAAATTATACATTAAAAAGGAAGAGGATAGATTTTATGTTATGTGTATTTTACAATAATAAGAATAGACAGATCAATAGATCTAGAGAGAGAGAGAGAGAGAGAGAGAGAGAGAGAGAGAGAGAGAAATAGATATCTAGGCCAGTGTTTTTTAACCACCTTTTCATTGTGGATTCTCACATAAATACCCTTTTTTGACTTTTTTTTTCCTAACCTCCCCCTACAAAGAAATGTTAACACCAGAGGTATGCCGTAGATTTGCTTGTGTTCAATGTGTGTATCTGTGCTTTATATATTAAAAAAAAGGAGATGTTTTTTGTCCTCCAAGAACCACTTTCCCTTCTGAGCATTCTCCCCCTCACATAGAATGTATGTATTAGGCTATGGTGACATGAAATCAGAATCAATGAAGACAAAACACAGGATTTTTGACAGGCGTATATTAAAAGCACAAATTATTAGAGATGACAAATCATAGACTCAAAGAAACCTATATGCACAAATATAAAAATCATTCATACATTCTTTTACTTAACAGATATTTTCTAAGCACCTACTATGGGTTAGACCCTGTGCTAAGCAATGAGAATAAAATGATGAACAAAAACAGACATATTCCTTACCCTTACAGTACTTTGTAATCTGGTGGGTGAGACAAATATTTCTCAAAAAAATCACACAAATGAATGTAAAACAGGGATATCAAGTTCGTCAAAAGAGAGAATGAGAGATCCTTGGTACTATGGGGAAGCTGGGGCAGGAGGGTTTCTAAGGAAGTGATGATTGAGCTGAGGTTGGAAAATGAAAAGGATTTAATTAGGTAAAAAGGAGAGGGAGACCATTCCATAGAGTGGGGACAGCCTGTGCAAAGGACCTGTGGCCAGAGGGAGCATGGCACCCATAAGAAACCAAAAGAAGACAGGACTGGTTGGGGCACAGAGACGAGGTGGAAGGTGATGCACAATGGAACTTAGCTCCAAGTTTCTCAGCCTTGGCACTAATTGATAATTTGGGGCCTGATAATTCCTGTCCATTACAGGTTGTTTAGCAGTGTCACTGGCCTCTACCCAGATGCCAGCAGTACCTCTTCCTAAGTTGTGACAACCAGAAGTACCTCCAGACTTGGCCAAATGTCCTCGGGGGCAAAATCACTCTCAGCTGAGAAACACTGGACTAGAGAGATGGGCCAGATTGTTTGGCCCTGTTAAGGAGTTTTGCTTTATTCTGTGGCCAATGGGAAGCATCTTAGGGATATAAAAGGTGGAAGGGGGAATGACACAATCGGAACTGTATTTGTAAAAGATCCCCAGTCAGCAGTGAGTTAAATGGAGAGGAGGGAAAGCCCAGGGCCAGAGGAGTCATGGATAGACTATTTAAGAGGATAGGCCAGTTTAGAAGGTCCTAGACTAGTCCTCATGAAATATAATAGCTTGGACTAGGGTAGTGGGTAGTGGAGATGGGAAGAAGTGAAACGGGATAGTTCCCTGATTTCCCCTCATAGGATGTATGATAGGGATGTGGCTTGCCTGTTCAATGGCCCTGCTGCTCAAACCCCTAGGAAGAGCATGCAGGTGCAGAGGCCAGAGCAAGTGCTTTGGGCTCTCAGCCCCATTGTAGTGTTTAGGGATGGGTGCCGGCAACCCCAGTCTTACAAATCCCTTTCAGCTTTTCTGTCTGCTTGAGTGTTAATCAGCTCAATCGACCCTCTACCTTATCACAAGGGCAGAGGGCCAGTGTGGCAGCTTTCTGTATCCCAAGCTCTTGCCCAGTGTCCTGGAAGAATCCGATCACATGCGGGTTGGAAGGATGAGTGCAAGGCATTACTGAGTGATGGAGGTAGCTCTCAGTGAGATAGATGGGGAGCCAGATGGTGAAGAGGTAGGGGAGATAATCTTCCTGGAGTTCAGCTATTCTTGCAGAACTCCACTGGACGTTCAGATGCCTCTTCCCTCCTTCTCTGCCATGCTGCCCTACTGCTCTCTGCTGCTCTCCACCGCTCTTTGCCTCTCTCTGCTGCTCTGTTCCTCTGCTCCTCTCAATGTTCAGTCTCTTGTGTGTGTGTCCGATAAGGTCTTGGGTTTATATGGGCACAGGATGGGGGTGGGGGTGTGGCGGGCCAAAGTGGTCTTGGAAAATGAAACACTCAGGCCCAAAAATGGGAGTACCTGTTCTCACTTAGGTCTGAGGGCACAGACCCACGGGTGGAGCCCTCACCAGGAACCCCACCCTTCTGTACCCAGCACTTCCCCGTCCTCCCATATCAGAAGTGGATGGATTTGAGAGACAGGAAGTAAAACTAACAGGACTTGGGGATAGATTGGACACGTAAGGTGAGGCAGAAAGAGACGTCGTGCTAGAGCAAGTGGATGGGTGGTGGTGCTATTTAGTAAAATGGGCTGGAGATATCCTTGGTTTGTAGGGGAAGATTTAATGATTGGATCGTTGTTAAAATTGAGGGGGCTTTGAGATGCCCAGGAGCAGTTGTCAGATAGATAATTGGATGTGTGGTCCAGAGCTCTAGAGGGTCTGGATTGGAGGCATAAACTGGGGAGCAAATGGTCTAAAGGTGGTAATCTCAGCTGTGAAAGTATCTGCCATCTCCCAGGGAAGGAACAGAGGAAGAAAAGAGGAGGTCCTAGGAGGCAGCTTGAGAGTGGCCATCATCTAATGACTTGGTAGAGAAAAATAAATACACTTCACAGTGTCAGTCAGATGCCCAGAGAAGAGAGTGAGTCAAGAATCAGGAAGCACTAAATTGTGTCAGATGCTCCTGAGAGATTACCTAAGATGACGAAAGAAAGTTGGTTGGATGTAGAGCAATGGTCATTGTTGGTCTTAGCGAGGGTGGTTTGGGTGACTTGGTGGGGCCAAAGGCCAGATGGGAATGGGTTGAAGAGTGAGAGGTGAAGAAATGGAGATGGAGAGTATAGATAACATTGTAGGAGACTAGACGGTGAAGCAAGGTGAGCCACACAGTGGAACCTGGGGAAGGGCGTGAGGAAGTTTCACAATGAGAGGGGCGGGCACACGTTTCAGTGTCAGGAGTCCAGTGGAGAGGAGTGGGATATCCACGAAGGAGCTGGGCTGCTGCTGAGGTGGGAGGCAGTGGCCCTAGAGAAGGGGGCAACGCTGTCCTCCACCTTGCGGAGGAAGGAGGAGGGAAGAGGCGTGAGCGCGGTGGGTGGCGAGGGGTGGTGGCAGGGAGTGGTGCCCTGGAGAAGCTCCTGCTGGGAGTAAGAAGAGACTATACCTGGGAGGGAGTGCTGAGGCTTGAGGAGAGTGGAGAAGTTTGAAATCGTGATAATTATTATTAAAATAATGATTCTCAGGGAATCTGAGTGGGTACTCAGTTTTCTAAGAAAAATAACATTACGATTGAAATACTCCTTACTTGTGTTAGATTCCTCGGATTGTCAAAACAAAGTACCACAAACTGGGTGGCTCACGACGACAGAAATTTATTCATTCCCTCATAATCTGGAGCCACAAGTCCAAAATGCTATAGAGGAGATCCTTCCTTGCGTCTTCCAGCTTCTGGTAGTTGCTGGTAGCCCTTGGCATTCCTTGACTCACCCTCTAATCTCTAGCTCCATCTTCACATGGCCTCCTCCCCTACGTGTCTGTCTCCAAATTTTGTAAGGATCCCAGTCATTGAATTAGGGCCCACCATATTCCAGTATGACCTCATCTTAACTTGACTATATCTGCAAAGATCCTATTCCCAAATAAGTTCTCATTCACAGGTTCCAGGTAGACATGAATTTTGGGGAAAACTGTTCAACTTAGTACATTACTAAGCCATGAAACTGTGCTAATGTATTTTAGAAGTACTTATAGAATTAAAACAAAAATATTTTTAACTAACGTGTGAGGGATTCCAAGTGCCTCACACTCACAGAGTCACATACTCCCGGTAGCTGATGTAGTCTCTAGTGTCTCCACGGTCTCCATGTTACAGATGAGGAAGTGGAGGCTGGGAAAAGCTGAATGACCTGCCCAGGATGAGATCCTGACAGAGCCAGCACCTGAGCCTGGACATTCTGACTTCAGAGACCGTGCTAGGCTCTATCCCTGCCTTTTTTCCAGTGGCTACTGGATTTATTAGATAAACAAATTAATCAGCTAGTTATCTACCTCAGGAACTACCTCTTCCTGCCAACATTCTTTGTTAATATATGTTTATGCTTTTTATACATTCAGAATATTTACAGCTTCATACAGGCAGCCCACTGTGTGGGAACAGAAGCCTGCTGCTTGTCCATGTGGGATGGCAAAATATAGCTCTCCCTTTTCCAGTAACATCTGGGCTTGGCTTTCTTTCCCCAGGTCCACAGCGTCCAATTCATGGAGTTCTCGGAAGTGGAGAACCAGGGTGACTCCTACAGCACGAAAGCCAGCTGTATCCACACCCAGGACCAGCAAGGGGTGCATGTCATGTATGAGGAAGCCCTAAGCGATCTGAAGGGACTAGAGGCGGTGTTCCTGCTTGTGGCCAGCCATTACACTGAGAAAGAAAAATGTGAGAAGTCAGATTAAAAAAAAAAAAAAAAATCAACTGCCCAAATAAACAAAACACACTAAGGGCTCCTCTTTAATGTTCTCCACCCCAAAATATAAACACATATCCAATAGTACCTGCAAATTCAATAAGCACACACACCTCCACCCCTAAAATGCATTCAGTTTGGAAGAGATACAGTTCTGTTTCCAGCTCAAGCCCCACTTTTGATAGAGATGGTGACTACTCTTTCAGGGCTGGGTTGTAATTCTTGCTGTGGTTCAGACTCTGCTTGTTGACCAGGGGTATTTCTTTTCTTTTCTTTCTTTCTTTTTCTTTTCTTTTTTTTTTTTTTTTTTTTTTTTTTTGCAGTAGGAAGTTTCCTTTATAATGACGAATTTGATGATACACAGTTCTAGAGTAGGGCCTCAGTCACTTGGCCACAGGGGCAGCTGGAGCAGGGCTGAGAAAGATGACACCCTCCAGGGCTCATGTCACACTGATACATGAGCCAGGAATGACCACCCGTGTACTTCTAAAGTTCAACCCACTCAGAAGGTCAGCCAAGAATTGTGCTTTTAATTCTTCGCTTTGGCCACTGAAGATCAAATCCACCATGATGACAGGATTTCAGTACAATAGGCTCTTTCCAGTCATGACAGACAGAGATGTCCAGGCTCTTAATAAGAAAAGTTCCTTTGACTTTTCCTGCAAGGACTGAAGAGATAAATCTTCTCTTTGTGATCTGCTGAAATGTTTATGTAGACTTTAAAAAAAACAACTCACAGTCCATTCCGTGCTGTGTTTCCCTGGCAGGTTTCTTATGATCTACCCTTCGATAGCTAGAGGGGTTTTATGTCAGGGAACAGGAAGTTAGGACACTTTAAGCAAAAAGAATCCTAGTGCAATACTCAGAAGTAGATCGTGGGCCTGAGGGGGCTGGAAAGGTGGGTTCGACTGAGGAGCAGGGTGTTGCCTTTTGGGAAAGCCTAGGGAAGACAGGGGCTTCAAGGAGCAGGGCAGGCCCAGTTCCTTCCTTGCTCTCCTGAGGTACAAGGGAGAGCACTGGCCCCTGCATTTTCACCTCTCAGGGCTGAAGACCCAACCTCTGACCCTTCGCCCACTCTGGTGACCTGCATGCTAAGATGGGTAGTCTCTGACTAAAACAGGCTTAAGCCAAGAATTGGCATTCGACTCCCAGAGGCATTTCTGCATCACCCACTGGGTTCAGAACCCCAAGGGAAGGAAAGTAAGCAAGTGAAACAAATGACTTTTCTTTCTAAGTGTGGACCTTGAGGAAACTGCTTTTAGCAGCAGAGACAGCCCTGGGTTCCTATTAGGAAACCACCAAGATGCAAGAACATCTGGCTAGGAAAATGCAGACAAGCCCCAGAGGAAGGAATTGTTACTCGGGGTAATCAAGTAACCCATAACCTGTATTTTCTCTTCCTTTTGGCATCACTCAAATTGATCCAATTTTAGAAATGGATGAGGTAAGAATATTCTTTTGGGATACTATGACAGCATGGGAATTACATTTGCGAAGAGCTTAGAATTTCTAGACACATTGCAATACCTAAAGGGAAACTTAATGAGGGTTTGTGCTATTTTGTAATATGTGTAGACTGTAATTAAAGAAAGTTCACACCGATACTGTTACAAAATGCTGCTCAAAGAAAGTTTGACAACTAACTTTTCAGATCCCAGACAGAATTAATTTAATGTAGGATTGAGCTCTTTGTCCTATCTTTGCCATTGGTATCTGAATTATAGGACACAATGATGGCATCCAACATTGCAGGGTATTTACTTTCAGCTCTTAGCTCTTGTTTTTACTGGTTATCCTACATACTAATGCATCATTTTGTCCATATTAATTTATAATACCATGCAAATATTTCTAGCTGTTTAGAATTTAATTGGATTGAGATACTTAGTCAGTAGTCATTTAACCACATGGGCGTCTTTCAGTTGAACTGGTAAATATGTAGTCATCTATTGTGAAATGATTTCCCAACTGTTGCTAGGGAAGTTCTTGATTATCTTTCTCTTGCTTAGTACCCATCATATATATGATAATTATTTACCTGAAATTTCAGCACATGAAAATATCTTATCTTTGAATATTTAATTCTGAAATAGAATACTTAAAAATTTAAAGCAATAATAATGCCGGTAGTGAAAAATAACAATAAAGTAAAAAAAAAAAAATCAGCTGAATAATGAAAATTACCTTCATTGATTTAAGTTAGTAATTAACATAATTAAGGAATATCTTGGAAAGGTCTCTGAAAATTTTTTACTTGGCTAACAATGATGAAAATAGCAAGTCAAACTGAGTTTGTTGTTAAGCCACTAGGGATTTGTTTTTAGAAAAGGAGAAATGTATGCTTTGCCTTTAAATTGTGGGTTTGAAGACAGTTTAGCATAGATTACTTGTTAACTAAAGTTTGATTCGATTTCTAAGATTAGTCCTTAAAACTAAATTTTAAAAATAATAACAAAAACTCCTATTGACTTAGAAGTCAACAAGTATGAACTCAGTGTTCGTCCCGGGGACTGGTTCAGTATTTCTATTTCTGAGATGGAGCTGATAATCCAAGGGGCACATTTCTAATTGGAACAGGTTCCTTGGGAGGCCCATTTCTAAATGTTCTCACCCTCTTTTCTACCAGGTCACAAAGTGGGCACCCAGCCAAAGAGTGGTCAGGACTGGGCATGGGCCCATGCAGGTGTGGACAGGTTTGCTGTGCTGTATGACATGTGGACTCAGGAAGCAGCTTTTCTGGAAAACAAATGCCAGGTATTTTTGCCTAAGGGACAAAACATCTGCTAAAAAATCATTCTTACAAAATCTAGTCTTTTTTCTTTTCTTTTCTTTGTAAAACTTAGTTGGACTTTTAGAAAAGCTCTCAATCGGCCGGGCGCGGTGGCTCAAGCTTGTAATCCCAGCACTTTGGGAGGCCGAGGCGGGTGGATCACGAGGTCGAGAGATCGAGACCATCCTGGTCAATATGGTGAAACCCCGTCTCTACTAAAGATACAAAAAAATTAGCTGGGCATGGTGGCACGTGCCTGTAATCCCAGCTACTCAGGAGGCTGAGGCAGGAGAATTGCTTGAACCCAGGAGGCGGAGGTTGCGGTGAGCTGAGATCGCGCCATTGCACTCCAGCCTGGGTAACAAGAGCGAAACTCCATCTCAAAAAAAAAAAAAAAAGAAAAGCTCTCAATCAAGAGAATAATTATTTTATTTAAATAATCTCAGCTAATTATAAGGATGTAAAAATTTTTCTTTACTGAGGTTCTTCATCACAAAAACCAAAATGTGAAAGATATTTTTTTATCTTACAGGTATCATTTGTTAGAGGGCTATATAATTCCTTCTTATAATATGTATGCTTTTAGTGAGAATGGATGAGGATTTCATTGAGGATTGTCCCTGCAGTCACAGGGACAATCCTCAGTTTGCTAATCACAGACAAACTGACCTGCTCATGGCCTTTAGAAGTGTATGCCACATTTGAGTAGGTTAAAGCAATTGGACAGAGTGCTGAGTGCGATGTTACGAGGGTGAGTTTAAAGCAATGAAACAGCAAATTACTAAATCATCACTGTATAATGAATGGTTCATATCCCAAGAAAAAATGACACACTGCAGGGTTACTGCTCTTCATTTGTGCCCTTAGCATGGATTATCAGCCCTTCTAATAATCACCGATTGCTAGGCGTTTACTTACCAAACGTTAAGTATTTACTCTGCCAGGGACTGTTCCAGCCATTCAGGGTCATATAGATAACTAAGTGAAAATGATCTGTATCTTTAAGGAATCTATCATCTATAAAATTGATTCAATCTCCAAGCAAAAATTATAACCTGGTTACTAACAGCTTATAATTGAGTATATTCATGAGTAAGGGGGACTCTGCAGAGAGAGAGAGAGAGATTTGTCCTGGGGGAGGGGGAGCACTGTTGGGGCGCAAGAAATGCTAGAAAGTCTTTCCAATGGAATAGATATTTAAACTTGATACTAAAAAATAAGTAAGATGTTGTGTGGGCCGGGTGCGGTGGTTCATGCCTATAATCCCAGCACTTTGGGAAGCTGAGGTGGACAGATCACGAGGTCAGAAGTTCGAGACCAATCTGGCCAACTTAGTGAAACCCAGTTTCTACAAAAAATACAACAAATTAGCTGGGTGTGGTGGTGTGTGCTTGTAATCCTAGCTACTCAGGAGGCTGAGGCAGGAGAATTGCATGAACCTGGGAGGTGGAGGTTGCAGTTAGCCAAGACTGCACTCCCACTCCAGCCTGGGAAAGTGTGAGACTCTGCCTTAAAAAAAAAAAAAAAAAAAAAAAGAAGCCTGGCAGGGAAGAAAAGATTCTTAAGCAGACGAAACAGCATTAGAATGTCAGGAGAAGTGAATGGGAAGGACCATCTTGGGGGATTTTATTTTGAGAAATAAAATCTTACCTTCTTGGAGGATGGTAGGAAGACTACTATGGCTGGGGATGTAAAGGCATGAGGGGTGGCAACGAGCCACACATGTGTTTTGGGTGCAGCCTACAAAGGACCTGCTAATCATACTATTTTAGAGTTTAACTTACAAACAAAGAAGAGTCATTGGTGAATTTCTATAGAGAGAAATATGATCATGGCTGTGTTTTTAACAGCTATCTTGGTATAAGTGAAAAAATGGATTGGAATAGAGAGCCCCTGAGAAAAAAAGTGCAGTTATTGCCAACAGTGACCTGAAAAGGTTAGGAGGGGACATACAGTGGCGATAGAAGAATAGAAAGGCAGAGAGACGGCGAGACTAGGAAGGAGGAACAGACCTGAGAATACTTCGCTAAAGTGGAAATGGCAGGATTTGAAGACTGGATCAGGAAGTTGGAGTGAGAGAGTAAAGGTGGAATTAAAACAGCTTCCTAAGGGTTAGGGAGGAGGCTATTAACTGAAACTGAACACAGGAGGAGGAAGAGTGTCTTCACAGGGGAAAATAACATAGGCCCTAGGACAAGGCATTTGAGGGGGTTGCTGAAACTCAAGTGTGAATGTTTTGTGGGAAGCTATAGATTTGAAGCTCAGGAACAGTTATGAGCTGAGGTATGAATGTGGAGGTTGAACCACAATAATGAATCAAAACAACCAGGAAAAGAGAGATGTCTGAAATGCAGCCCTAAGTAATATAGCTAATTTTTTTTTTTTTTTTGAGATAGATTCTCACTCTGTCATTTAGGCTGGAGTGCAGTGGCACAATCACAGCTCACTGCAACCTCTGCTTCCCAGGTTCAGGCAATTCTCATGCCTCAGCCTCCCAAGTAGCTGGGATTACAGGCACTTGCCACCATGCCCAGCTAATGTTTTGTATTTTTAGTAGAGACGAGATTTTGCCATGTTGGCCAGGCTGGTCTTGAACTCCTGACCTCAAGTGATCCACCAATCCTTCCAAAGTGCTGGCATTACAGGCATGAGCCACTGCACCTGGCCCCTGAGTAATATACCTACATTTAAGGGGCAGGTCATGAAACAAGAAGGAGTAAAACTAAATAGGCCAGAGAAAAAAGGAAGAAATAGCATTGTGAGAACCAACAGAAAAATGAGTTTTAATTAGAAGGGGATGGTTACTAGTGCGGAGTTCCGTGAAATGTCAAGAAAGAAACTCCTAAAAAACCAAGCAGCTTGGTCAGGTGGTCATTGGCATTGTAGGACTCTTTCAGAAGCACGGTGGGGGTGGAAACCAGGTTATAGTGCACTAGGATGTGGTCAGAAGATGGGGAAATTGAAACATTTTCTTTGAATTGTTTTTCTAGAATAGATGGTTCACCATTTCATCTACTCTCTGGTTGCTCTGTTACTCCTAGAGATGTAGGTCACCCGCTCTTTGGAAAACAACTGGCTGGGCTTAAATAGTGCAAGCCTTGGACTTTGAAAAAATGTTTCTTCTTTCAATGGTAACTGGCCTCTACAGGATTTGTCTGGAGCCTTAATCTGCCAATTAGAACCTTAACCAACTGAGTGAGTGATTTAGATGCACAGTATAGTAACTGGAAAGGTCGTATGAAATGTAACTAAGACAGGATCCCTAAACTCCACAAGTTTATCTGTCCAGGCATGAATTTTAAACGGCACCCCGCCCCTTTCTGTACTCTCCCCACCTTCCCTTTCAATGCCTCTGGGCCTCCTGTGGAGGCCCCTGCCCGGCCCAGCCCGGTAGGACTCAATGACAGTAGAAGAGAAGGAAGGCAGAGAAGACTGAAAAACACACCAATTTCTCCACACTTCAGCCTGGGATTCAATCTGTGCTAAGGTGTCAGATCTGTCCACTAGTTCCTCCTACGGTAAATGAAACTATTTTGACTTGAAAACATTTGGTGAAAATAGCTCTCTCATTTCTATCCTGAGAATAAATTCCCTATAGAAGCTATCAGTGCCAAAAGCATAAAATATGGCCAAGTCAGAAAGTTTGTCCAAAGAGCCTATATTTAATGGATAAGCCAGATTTCTATCTAAAGTACAATTGACTTCCCCCAGTACTGTTTCTACAGCCAAGTTTCCTCAGCTGTTTTTGATTGTTAAATATATTGGTATCACTAGAGTTAAGAATTGCTTGAACATATTGTGTTCTTTTAAATCCTTAAAATAACATATTATGTATGAAGGTTCATAAAATTTAGAGCTGATATTAACTTAGGTAGATCAAGGGATTCTTAAGAGAAGTCAGGTATTAGCCGTACCAGATCCTATGTGACACTGTACCATCTGCTAAGTCTTTCTGCAGCTACTGAAGGACACATATACTGGATAAAAATCCTATTCCTTTGAAAAGCCAAAAAGAAAATGTCCTGTGACAAGTTGGGTCTAGCAAAATTTTGTTTTGTTCTTTCATTTAACCTAAAATACTATTTCAGAACTTTTTTAAATCCTTGAAGTAAAAAAGAATTGAAGTAAAAAGAATATAAACCCAGTAAGGTTTGAGATTATTTATTTTGTCTATTTTCCCATTTTCTTCAATATTTAATGCTTACCGTCAGTGTGCACCACATATTATCTTGCCTGAGAGTTGGCCCTTGACACACACAGGTGACATTTGACAGACTGGGAAGATGTCTTAGACAAATACCAGCTCAGAGCTGAAATGGAAAAGGGCCAGTTAGCACACAGATAGTAAATAGAACCCATGATGCAAAAAGATCACGGCCCCACCCCTGTTGGGAAAGAATCCATAATAAAATTATGCAATGGTTTGAGACACTCTCGAGGTTGAGCACAAAGCTTAGAGAAGATTCATCAATTTAAAAAGAGAGCCACAGTTTCCTTCTCCACAGCTAAGTTTACCAGATAAATTAGTGCAATATTTTGGACATGCTTATACTAAAAAAGTATTTATTTCTCTGAGATTCAAATTTGACTAAATGTTCAATATTTTTATTTGCTAAGTCTGACAGCCCTATCAACAACAATAAAATGGAAATTTAGCGTGGGCTTCTATAATCTGGTATCATCAGGTTGGAATCACCATCAAGAACCCTTCCCCCTCTCCCAATTCCCCACACACTCCCCCTTCTAAATAACCAAACAATTGGACTCTTTGTACAAAAACAGGTCAAGGAAGTATAAACACGATAAACCAGCTCCTGGGATTGCCCTGGCCCAGTAAAAAGGTTCAAGTGAGTCCAGAATGAGTTAGGGAAGTAATTGTTTATTTCCTAATCTTCACATGGGGCTATGGAGGGCCATCCTTCTTACCCCATCCAGTCATTCTTCCTTCATTTCTGTGTTGTCTTCTGCTGTGTAATAATTGAGTGTTATAAAGCAGAGGTTGGTGAATGGAACAAGGTAACTGAGATTACCCAGCTGGCTTCATTTTCCCTGGGGCTCATTTAAAGGCAAGATGGTCTCCAACCTCCCTCACTTTGCCCTCTTGATGTGTGAGTTTCTAATTTGTGGAGCAACTCTGTGACCTGAGCTTTTAGTTTCCTTTGGTGTTTTCCTTTTCATACTAAGGTTTATCCAAGGTTTCTTAGACCCATGTTTCCCAAAGGGCATCCTACAAAACCAGGTGCTAAAGAAAGTGCTCCAGGCTCTTCCTCCTTGAGGCTTAGCATTGGGCCTCCATAATAAAGTATCTCTTAATAAAGTACTATTTGATTCTTAGTGTGTTATTCATTTTCAAGGGTTCAGCTCTTTTGTGTAGAAGAGGAAAAACTCTTTTCTCTGCCTTCTTAGATTCAGTGCTTGGGCCCTGAAAATGAAACTGACAAAAGATAGATTAACAGGAGAAGGGATTTATTATGTACTGTACACATCAGAGCTACTTATCTTACCCTAGGGTCCCAGTTGGGAATTCCAACCCAGTGATCTCTGAAGAGCTTTTCCTGACTAGCATCATGACTAATCACCCACAAATAGAATTTACACACAGAACAGAAATTCTTTAAGCTCACAGACAAATGTAAAAGCAAGATCAAGAGGCTTCTCTCTGAATTCCTACGCTAAGAACCCTCTTGAGTAGTTAGTATCTGGAAGCTTTTCTGGGTTTTTAGAAAAGACTTGGCGGGGTGCAGTGGATCACTCCTGTAATCCCAGCACTTTGGGCGGCAGAGGTGGGTGGATCCTGAGGTCAGAAGATTGAGACCATCCTGGCCAATATGGTGAAACCCAATCTCTACTAAAATACAAAATCTTAGCTGGGTGTGGTGGCGTGTGCCTGTAGTCACAGCTACTCGGGAGGCTGGGGACTTGCTTGAACCTGGGAGGCAGAAGTTGCGGTAAGCCAAGATGGTACCACTGCACTCCAGCCTGACGACAGAGCAAGACTCCGTCTAAAATAAATAAATAAATAAATAAAAGAAAAAAAGACTTTCAAACCCCACTAAAATACATGCTCCATCGGGGTTTTGCACACTTGATGTCTTGGAGAGTTCTGTTTACAAGGCCCATCCTGGAAGAGTTCAGGGATAAATCACTTTGAATATAGGAAGCACATTTACCCTCAGCCTTCCATTCTACCACCCATGTCATTTTCGTGTAGGTGAAATGTGAGCAAACTATTAAAGAGGAGGAGTCAGAAGCAGGGCCGAGGCTGTAGAAGTCAGGTGGCCACCTACCTAGCTTTGGTGATGGAATAAAATGGAAGAAGGAGAATGAGTTTTGGAGAAAGGTGTTGGAGATAAATACATTTATCTGAATGTGTTGTCTCACTGGAACTTATAATTGTTATGTATTATAATTACATAACCCCCTTTTTATTTGCGGAAACCAGAGGAAGAGGGAATGGAAGTAGGAACTCGAACTCAAGTCCAGTTCTTCCGGCTCCAAAGCATGTGTTCCTTCCCTTGCCCTCTCTAACGCTGTCTGCAGGTTTACCAGCTGCGCTGTATTGTGTTGGTACTACATCTGCCCTCAGTATGGTGGGGCCTTCCCTCTCTTTGCTGGGCCCAGGGCTGCCTCTGCTGATCCCTGACTACCAACCTTATTTGCAGAGTTTTGACAGTTACTTTGAAGCCTACCAGCACATGTTGGACGCTGAAGAGAGGTTCGCCTTAGCACAAGTGATGATGGATATCACGCACCGGTGCCCGAGGTATGATCTCAGCTACACCTATTTCATTAAGGCCTACTGGGAGGAATTCATCTGCCTGAGGCTTCACCTGCAGTTAGTGAGAGGTCTCCTCAACCAGCATGTGAGTATAGTTGGGTTTTAAAATACTACATGCAAGAAGAGGATGGAAAACATCAGACAGAAATGAAAATCGTGTTTTCTTTCCATTGCAGATCTGGAATCTGTGTTTTCTAGGCCAGCATGTACAGCGTACTTATTAGTAAGCTCATTTGCATTGTTGAAATCCCAGTATAACTATGGTCATAAAGAGAGGTTTCCACCCCTAATTAGAGTTAACAGTTCACAAGGAATTGATGACCTTAGTTTTCATTAGATTGCAAAGTTTATTTGTAGTGAAAGAACAACGAATGATACATGTTTTTGACATTAATGTATCATTTTTTTAAAGTGTGACTTATTTTTAGGACTCTGAAAGAAATCATCATTATTTTATTTCCTCTAGGGAAAGCTAGTGACTTGAAGCAAGCAAGAGACAAAGGATTGTTGCCACCTGGTTGAAATTTTTTCCATGTAGTCAATTATTTAAAAGAAAGATTTCTCTTTTGCTTCTTAAAATTGTCTGAAGTCAGTTGCCTTTACTTCCCTTAGCTACCTGGCTCAGACTGAGAGATCAGCATGTCTCATGGCAAAAGAATCTTCAAAACAATGTCTGGATGAAAATTAGTCAAATGATGAAGAGACACAAAGGGACAAAATCCTTCTCATGTCAAGGCAGACAACTCATGCCCATGGGAAAGTTTAACTTCTCAATTTTAATGTTTATGCTACATTTTTAGGTAGAGTGTCAGCGGGAGTATGTCCAGAGGCTTTGGTGAGAGGATCATCTGGACAATAGCAATACCTTTGGACTTCCCCTTAATATAGTTTGCAAACAACTTATTTCCATCAACAATAGCCAGTAAGTTGATGTTGTCTTTAGACATTTTACATGTAATCTTCTAGATTAATTAAGGATATAGTGTTAAATCTCAGTACTACTCGATAAAACACTTCTCAAGTGCTTGGAGGAGATGAGGGAAGTAGGTATAAAGGCCACAAAAGAGGGATTCCCTTGTATATTGAATATCTGTTTGCTTTGGGAGTAATAAAGCATGCAGGCTAGAATGTAAACATATGCCACTGGGTAGAGAATCACCATTGTCTTTAAAAGGCCTAGGGGAAAAGCAGTTGCTATTGAAATGCTGTCAGGATTTACCCAGATGTACTACATGAGTCCACATATATAAAACTGGGATGTGCTTAAAAGTTTCTCTAAAAGGAATTTTTTTTTTTTTTTTTTTTGAGACGGAGTTTCGCTCTTGTTACCCAGGCTGGAGTGCAATGGCGTGATCTCAGCTCACCGCAACCTCCACCTCCTGGGTTCAGGCAATTCTCCTGCCTCAGCCTCCGGAGTAGCTGGGATTACAGGCACATGCCACCATGCCCAACTAATTTTTTTGTATTTTTAGTAGAGACGGGGTTTCACCATGTTGACCAGGATGGTCTCGATCTCTTGACCTTGTGATCCACCCGCCTCGGCCTCCCAAAGTGCTGGGATTACAGGCTTGAGCCACCGCGCCCGGCCTCAAAAAGGAATTTCTTTACGTGTCACTACAGAGGTTTCTGCAGATTTGCCTTGTGACTCTCACAAGAAGTTCAATTTAAGAAACAGAATTAAATTCCTTGTGGTCACTCAGAGAGGGTACACACTTTGTCTCCCCCTAGATGGGGAACATAACCATTTCCCTCATTCCCTTGTACTTTGAGGGTAGAAGAAACTGGGAAGCAGGTGACAAGCCCCAGGTTGATCTGCGTGGCTCTAGATCACAATCTCTCAATTGCCTACAAATGGGTGGAGAAATTATCTACTTCCTTTCAACATCCAACAAATATTTGTTCAGCACACAGATGTGAACAACACAGGCATGGTTTTGTGTTCCTGTGAGGTATACAGTCCAGCAGGAAAGGCAGACTTTATGTAAGAAATTACTGTAATGGGTTATGGTATTATCTTCAGGACAGGCAGGGCGTCCTGGGAGCAAATAGCTGAGATTCTCATTTCTTGAGAAAGAGCCCCGGGCTCAAAACTCCATTTTCTCCATAGATCTTCCACAGGACTGATTTCTTCTCTGTAATAAACTTGAGACACCAGCTGTGTGTACGCAGTTTGCTATGGCAAACATCTACTGTTCAGGAAATGGTTTTTGGCAGAACAGGCTAGGGTTATATGGACACGAAAACTGCCAGAATAGTCTCAAAAGCAAGTATTATATGCTTGATGAGATTCCTTTTCAGACTTCAGGTTTTTTTTTTTTTTTTTTAAGACTCAGGACTAAGAAGGATCCCATTTACATCAATGTAAAGGGAAATGTCATGTCCTTCAGTTCTGTGTGGGTATAGAAGGACCCTTGACTTGTGCTGTACTCTTTATTTCTAAAGAAATAACCCACTGATGAGCTTTATTATTATTATTTTTTGCTTCTGGCCTCAACCATTTATGAAATATAACACCCTTACAGTCAATTCGAGTGATTCCAGCAGTTATGTACAGAATTTAAAAATTGTCCATTCACATTTTGGGAATCTTTATCCTTTGAAGGATAAAGATTAGATGAAAAGTTGAAACTAATAACCATGGAAATCATTTGTTTTTATGTAGTCACTTTTGAGCTATTTTGTTTTCATATATTTGACTAAATATTGACTACTGAAATATTGACAATTTTGCTATACAGTGTTATTCTTATTGAGCTTCTGGAAAATACACCTATGTCTTTCTGTTTTTAAAGGTTCGCATTAAAGCAAAGAACATGTCCTGCAGCCCAGCATGTTCCCACACTCTGAGGTCTCTCTGAGCTCTCAGTTTTTTATAATGCACTGGACATATAGGAGCTGTTTTATTGGTCTTTAAAAATATAAAATTCAGGCCGGGCGTGGTGGTTCATGCCTATAATCCCAGCACTTTGGGAGGCTGAGGTGGGTGGATCATGAAGTCAGGAGATCGAGACCATCCTTGCCAATATGGTGAAACCTCATCTCTACTAAAAATACAAAAATTAGCTGGGCATGGTGGTGCGCACCTGTAATCCCAGCTACTTGGGAGGCTGAGGCAGGAGAATCGCTTGAACTAGGGAGTCGGAGGTTTCAGTGAGCTGAGATTGCACCACTGGACTCCAGCCTGGCGAGAGAGTGAGACTCTGTCTCAAAAATAAATAAATAAATAGATAGATAAAATTCAAATATCTTTGGAAACAGATTAAGTTTGTTGTGTATAATTGTCATTCGTTGTTCTTTTCTTCAAGCCCGGCTTTGAAAAATGTTTACCTGCTGGAGTTCCACCCTTCCCTCAGCCTGGCAGCGCTTATCCCCAGAGCCCTAGAGTATCTCCTTCAAGAGGTCTGCCATACCTGCAAACCTGCATTAGCGGTTGCCTTGCCTCCCTGGAGTGACATGTCCTGCAGCTGGCCCTGGACCTGTGGCTCACCCCAGCCAAGCCTGAGGCCTGGTACAGTAGCACAGCTCCAGAAAGATGTAAGTTCTTTCTGAAGGAGGTAGTTGGGTCCTTGGCAAGGAGAATGTTTTTTTCCAGATGTTACTATTTAGCTTTGTTTTTCTATCTGGCTCTATTCCCCCATTATTTGGCTAGAGACGGAGCTCAGTCATAGGCCTTGCCAACATTTTTATGTGATTTTTGGGAGGATGGGGTCAAAGTTTCTCATTTATAAAGATGCTGCTACAATTAAAATTAAAAGAGTGATATACATGGGTATGTGGGAAATGTTTTCTGGTTTATTATTTATATTTTAACAAATACTTTTTAATTTAAAATTATATCTTTTCTTTCCACTAAGACACTTCCTAAATATGTTCTTTTTGTCAAGATCTGATAGAAAACAGAAGTTGAGTGAGGAGTCAGGGATCTGAATTCAAGTTCAGTTCTGCCATTAACTTGCTGTGTGACTCTGAGCATGACTCTTAACCTCTCTGACCTCACTTTCCTTTTTTATAAAATTATGTTTGTGTACTTGGCAGAGGAGGTAGGTGGAGGTGAGCTTGATGATCTCTGAAGGCCCTTTCAGCGCTACTGCTCCATGGTTCAAATTGTGGGTTAAACATGGTGTTTGTAGTTGGATTTTAATACTTTTCTTTTTCTGTTAAGTCTGTCAAGGTTGAGCCTGGGTCTCCAATTTGACCTCGTTCTCTATGAGTACTTTCTGTATGACAAAGAAACTTTCAAGGCCCCCCAACTGCTAAAAATGTCTGCTCCATAGGTCTGCCTTGGCCTCCTATCCCTTCCTGCCTACAGTAAAAATTGATTTTATTTTACAGTGACCAAAATAATATAAAATTACAGATAATTTTAGCAAAAGCAGAAAGAACAAAATTGAATTTAAACAGCAGCAGTCAAATGCATTCATATCATGATTTATCATAATTTAAGATTCTTAATGTATGTGTTTGACATAGCTATAATCATATTTTTTGTCCATTGTTATTTCTTCCTTTTCTCAGTTAACATTATACTACATATTTTTAAATAAGGCTACCTAGTCTTTAGACTTACCTTTATGACCACATAATTCCCATATCTGATGAATAAAAACCTCTCTAGTCATTTCCCTACTGATGGAAATTCAAGTGGTTTCTAATTTTTCATTATTATGAAAAATTCTAAAAGATATGTCTTTTTACTTACAGATTTTTTCATATTTCAAATTGATTCCTTTTGATAGGTTCTTGGAAGCAGAATTACTAAAATAAAATTTAAATATTTGGATACATATTGGCAGATTGCTTTCCAAAGAGTTATGCCAATTTATAATGGCACTCACATATTCTAAGAGTACCAATTCTGCTATGCTGTGTAGTATTAGGCAAAAGCATGCAGTGTATGTGGTAATATACACGTATACATAAAAGGTGATATTGTGCTGTTAATTTGCATTTTCTTGCTTTTTATTGAGCTTAAATAGTCTTTCAAATGTTGTTACTAATTATATTTTTTGCGAATTTTGTTCTTTTCCTTTATTTATTTATCTGTTGGAATCCTAACATTAGTCCTATCTACTTACATGAGTTTGTCTTAAATAAGAACCTTAACCTTTCTTTTTGTCTATAATTTTCTGCAAATATTTCACATTTGTCCCCCCACCTCTTTTTTTTTTTGAGACAGAGTCTTGCTCTGTTGCCCAAGATGGAGTGCAATGACACAATCACAGCTCACTGCAATTTCAGTTTCCCCAGCTCAAGCTATCCACCTACCTCAGCCTCCCAAGTAGCTGGGACTCTAGGTGCATACCATCATGCCCAGCTGATTTTTTTTTATTTTTAGTAGGGAGGAGGTTTCACCATGTTGTCCAGGCTGGTCTCCAACTCCTGGGCTCAAGCGATCCACCCACCTTGGCCCCGTAAAGTGCTAGGATTATAGGCAGGAGCCACTGTGCTGAGCCTCTCCATTTGTCTTTCCATTTTTTTAAACATAAATTTATTTTCATATAGTCAAATCTATCAATCATTTTCTTTATGATTTCTTCTATCTTAAATTCAGAAAAAAAATCTTCCTCCAGATGTTTCATATTTGTCTTATTTTATTCTGATTTTTAAGTGCTTGGTTTTATTTGTAAAATATTTAACTCTGGTTGGGTATAGTGGCTTTGCATGTAATCCCAGCACTTTCAGAGGCTGAGGCGGGTGGATCATTTGAAGCCAGGAGTTTGAGACCAGCCTGGCCAACATGGCGAAACCCCGTCTCTACTAAAAACACAAAATTAGCCGGGCATGGTGGTGGACGCCTGTAATTCCAGCTACTTGGGAGGCTGAGGCAGGAGAATCACTTGAACCTAGAAGGCAGAGGTTACAGTGAGCTGAGATCACATTACTGCACTCTAGCCTGGGTGACAGAGCAAGACTCCATTTCAAAATAAATAAATAAATAAATAAATAAATAAACAAATAATAATACAAATATTTCACTGGAGAGAGAGAGAAAAAAGAGAGAGAGAGTGTATGTGTGCATGCATCTATGTGTCATATGTGAGGTATGAGTCAAAACTAAATTTTTTCTTAAATTAGTAACTATTTATTCTACTACCACCAATTCAGGATTCTTTTTCACATTGTCTTATGATACCACATTTAAAAGATGTATTCAAAATTCTTTTTTTTTTTTTTTTTTTTTTTTTTTTTTGATATTAGTCTCACCCTGTATCCCAGGCTGGAGTGCAGTGGTACAATCTTGCCTCGCTGCAACCTCCGCCTCCCAGGTCTCAGTTCAAGTAATTCTCCTGCCTCAGCCTCCCAAGTAACTGGGATTATAGGCATGCACCAACATGCCCAGCTAATTTTTGTATTTTTAGTAGAGACAGGGTTTCACCATGTTGGCCGGACTGGTCTTGAACTCCTGACCTCGTGATCCACCCGCCTCAACCTCCCAAAGTACTGGGATTACAGGCGTGAGCCACCACACCCAGCCTTGAAATTCTTTTATAAATTACAGTGAATATCTGGGTTACCTGTCTAGTCTCCCATTGCTGCCACACTGTTTTATTATTTTTGAAATCTCTTCAAATTTGGACCTACGAGTGATAAATATTCAGACTAATACGTTATATTAGGTCAGAAAATGCTCTCAGAAGACATGCAGAAATTTATTTAATAGGTCTCTTTGTTATCACTTTGGAAAACGTTAAAGCCTAGAAATTGCGATCCTTGAATAGCCCAGTCCTTTAGTAGATAAATGGATAGATAAAGGAGCTAATGTATCCTGGAGAGCCAAACCAGAGAGGCAGATGGGGGTCCCAGACTGGGTGGTTGCTGGGATTGGTATATTAGAAGACAGCAAAGATGTTAGAGCAGAGGTGCCCACCAAGGCAGGAGGGTATTAAGGGATAATGTGGTTACTTCACAAATCACCCAGGGCCAGCTCTGAGTGAAGGAATGCTGGAAAGGCAGTTTGGTGTACTGTAAAATAGCTGAACTTGGAGTCAGGAAGCCCAAGTTTACTCTTGATATGGCTGTGTGACCTTGGACAGTCTCATGTTGCTTCAGATCCCTCACTGACAAAGGGGAATAATGATATCTGTAACGTCTGCTTCATGGGGATCTTGTGAAAATAAAAATGAGTTAATAGATGTAAAAATGCTTCATAATTTTGAAACTGTCATTAGAGAGGTTTATAAAAAAATTGTTATTGGCCACCAAAATACTTTTTAAAATCAGGGACTTCTATTCCTATTTAGCTTGTCTTTAGCATAGACAAGTATCCCCATAGTGAATATCTAGGGATTTGCTTATTTAGACTCATGACATTTATAATAATGATAACAGCAGATAGTTTTCATATATTAACCCACTTAACCCTCTCAAGAGCCCTATTAGGAAGTTAGTATCTATTTTCCTACAATAAGGACTGTTATTATCTTTATCACCACTTTATAGATGAGAAAATTGAGAGACAGCAAAATTGAGTACATTGCCAAAATCTCACAGCTTTTAAGTGGCAAAGTTAGGAGTTGAGCTTAGGAAATGGATCCAGAATTTGTGCCACAGGCAGTATATTTTTTTAAATGTGAAATTTCTTCTTCTATGTTTTAAAGGATATTTTGCTTTCTTCCAGCTGTTTTCAGCTAAAGTTATGAGAGATCCGTTTCTCGTGGGGGAGATAGGCCTGGTGGCACTCAACTCTGCAGCAGTCAAAGGACAGAAACAAGGCCAAGACTCTCATGTGCTACTCTTGGAGATGTTTTCCAAGCTTCTCAAGCTCTTGACCCTCTGTGACCGGCTAATAGAAATGAGCCTGGAGAGTGCACACTTAGCTGGGTCGGGGTGGTCAGAGGACCCAGGTGGAATATAAAGTGTGCAGCAAAACATGGGAAAGAGGCCATGAGACTCCCTGCCTACAAGCCTGCCCCCTCTCTGCTCCCAGAGCAGTCAGAGTGAGTTTGCTAAATGGATAACATGATCGATCACCTTGCTCCCTTTTTCCTTCTCTCTTCCAAGCCTCCCCAAATGCCTCTCTGATCACTGAACTAGGCTAAGCCCTCCTACTGGCACTTGAGTTTCCCCTTCATTCAGCACATTTCCTTTTAATTCATTGCTTAATATTGGTTTGTTGACTTTTCTGCTAGCATAAGCTCCCCAAATGCAAAAGCCCTATCCACATTCTTTACTGCTGACATCCCATTACCTGGTATGGGGCCTGAGCCACACCAGGCACTCAGGGAATACTGGCTGAATTTGCTCCTGAATGTAATGAAGTTGACTAGAAAGGGCCTAGAGATGGAAGAGAGACAAGTCACTGACAGCATCCAGGTCAGACAGAGGTATGGAGGGCTCAGCAGGTGGGAGAGATGACATTAGTGAGTTATGTTTCAGATATGAGGGTGAGATGATGGTAAGACATCAAGTGGACATGTTCTACAAGCGGAAAAAATATGTAGCTAGAGGGTTTGTTGTAAACATGTGTGAGTGCTGTTATGTTCTGGTCCCCACAAAAGACCCTGTAGACATAGAGGGTCCAGTCATCTACCACCAACCGTTATCAAGGGCCTGCTGTGGCCCGGGTCTTTACTGAGGACTTCATGTGTATCACTTCATTTAATTCTTGGAAAAAACAAAATTTACTGTAAGGATACAGAGATATTCGCAGAAGCCAAGGCAGGAAGTATGATCAGACCTTGGGTGATGCTAGATTCCCATTTGGCAAAAAACAAAACAAAAAAAACAAACGTCTGGAGCCAAGCTATTCTCTGGTTCTTTAAGGGCCTCCTTGGTTGGCGTTTTATATTGCTGTGATAATAGGGCACCACATTTTTGTTCAGTTAGAATCCACCAATCAGCACAAACTGCCCGAATACCCTGTGGTTTGGCCAGTGCTCTGTGGTCTGATTGGGTGATGACCTAGAGATGCCGCAATATAAGGGAGCCTTCTGCATTACCAGGGGAAGGCTTAGGCATCCAAAGAACTTGTGTATTGAGTTTGTATTTATTTTATATATATTAATTCCTTAAAGTTGCCACTTTGGAGTGCCATTATAACAACAACATATATAGTGATCCCTTAGTGTCTGTGTGGGGGATCAGTGCCAAAATCCCCTCCGTTACCAAAATCCAAGGATGTACAAGTTCCTTATACAAAATGATATAGTATTTGCATGTAACCCATGTACTCCCTCCCTTAAGCTTTAAATCATCTTTAGATTACTAATAATTGTATCTAATACAATTTAAATGCTAGGTAAATAGTTGTTATACTATATTTTTATATCATTTTTATTTTTGCATTGTTACTTTGTATTATTTTTTCAAATATTTTTATTTGCAATTGGTTGAATCCATGGATGCAGAACCCATAGATGTGGAAGGTCAACTGTATCAAATATGAGTATAGTGACTTTCATTTTAAAAAGCACATTCATCCGTATTATCCCTCTTAATATTTACCATAACCCTATGAGACAGGTGACACCCCCTTTACAGATGAAGAAAGATTGGTAGATGTTAAATTACTTGACAGAGTCTCATAGTTATGGACAAAGTACTGAGTCTCAAGGTGGAAACATGGCTGCAAAGAATATTTAGATAGCTGTTGGAACCATAGGAGAGAGAGAGAATTGGACAACATTTAGGAGGTGTTCAAAGGAGTGAGTCAGTGAGGGATCCTGAACAGGTGTGGTCAAGTAGGTGAGAGGAGCCAGGTGTGGTGGTGCATGTCTGTAGTCCCAGCTACTCAGGAGACTGAGGTGGGAGGATTGCTTGAGCTCAGGAGTTCAAGGCTGCAGTAAGCTATGATTGCACCAGTGCCCTTCAGCCTGGATGACAGAGTAAGATTTTGACTCCCCTCACAAAAAAAATTCACTTGGTACACCTTTGATGCCCAGTTAACTATGTATGTACTTCAAATAAATAAAAACATTTTGCTTTTTAAACAAAAAAGAAGATGAGGAAAAACAAGAGAGAGTAGTGTAATGGTGATCAAGAAAAAATAATTTCCAACACTGTGGGGTGGTCACCATAATCAGACTGCAGTGAGATCAAGTCCAAAGAGGACAGAAAAGATCCCAGAGCCCTTATAGCAGGCGTCCCCAAACTACCCCTGAGGCCATTTATCCGGCCCCCCACTGCACTTCAGGAAGGGGCACCTCTTTCATTGGTGGTCAGCGAGAGGAGCACAGTATATGGCAGCCCTCCAATGGTCTGAGGGACAGTGAACTGGCCCCCTGTGTAAAAAGTTTGGGGACACCTACCTTATAGCTTTCAGTGGAAATATTAAGTCTTGTATAAAATTTGCATTTGCTATTACTGACATTTCAGATCTGATTACATGACATCCTGTTCATGTGTCTCTTAATCAGTTGCATATCACATAAAACTTCATATTTTTTGTTGCAGATACTCTCCTGCTGCTCTTGTCATAGCCATCTTTGAGGTGGATGTTAACCAAATTGGCAAATTTAGTTTTTACACAAAGGAAGCCATTCTTAAGGTAAATTATTTATTTTTAAAAAAGCAAATGAAATAAAATAAAGCAATTTGTTCACATATTTCTTTAAGAGGACGTAATACTTTATATAAATTTAGCTTCCATATATAAGAAAACCTTCCAGTTTCATAAATAATAATAAAGTTTACTTAGTCCGTTTTCTCTTTCAGTAACAAAATACCTGAGACTGGGTAATTTATAAAGAAAGGAAGTTTATTTGACCCATGATTCTGGTGTCTGGGAAGTCCAAGGGCATGGCGGCAGCTTCTGGGCAAGGGCTTTTGCACTGCATCAGAACATGGCAGAAAATCAGAAGGTCACGTGATTACATGCGACAGAGACTGCAAGGGCAAGCCAAGCTTGCTTTTATAATATCTTGCTATCTTGAGAAAAAATCCACTCCCACGATCATGGCATTAATCCATGAGGAAGGCTCTAATCTCATGACCCAATCATCTCCCAACACATAAACTTTTAGGGGACATATTCAAACCATAGTGATGGCCTTGCCTTATTTGATGTGCACATTAGCCTGGTTTGAACCATAGAGTCTGCAACACCACTTATAATAACTTCTGTTAGATACTAAAAAAGAAGTTCACGTGTAGTGAACAATCTTTGCATAAGGTTTTTAAAATATACACTTGTTATTGAAGCTTTTATCTGGTCTTTCTAAACCTGGTGCTATTTTTTCATCTGCCACTTGGATTTCTTTGCTTCTATATGAGTATTTTTAAAACGTTGATCTAATCTTGGCTTACAGGAGCCTGCCACTGAGCACGTGTTTGCTAGTTCATCACAGCCTATTCATCTTTTCCTGACCACTGGAGAAACCTAATGGTGTCCAGCTATAGAGCAAATCAGGCCTGGAAGCTGCCTTCTTGGAATGAAATGCTGCTGAGGGAGAGACCAGATTCAGTCTTAGGGCTGATTAGCAAGTAACCCAGCTCATCTGGCAGTTTGATTTCTATATTTACATGTTGAATAAGTGGTGATCTTAACCCTCAACTCGCTTCTTTATGCAAGAAATTCCTAATACTTTTCATATTTTCTTCCTTTAGCTCTTGTTGCATTCAGGAGTGGAAAATACGCAGGTGACTCTTGCATGCCAAGCTGCTCAGAAAAATGCTTTGATGGTGGCTATCCAGCAGGCACACTTCTATCACACCCCTCAAGGGAGCTGTCCTGGTAATGTCAAGGTCAGCCTGCGTGACACAGAAGCCAGAGGCATGTCACCACTCCCACCAGTTAATGTCAGGCTGCCCCTTTCTTCCTTCCTTTTTCCCTTTCTTTTCCGCCTTCTTTCTCCCCTGTTCCCCACTTTCTCTTTCCTATCTTTTTATTTTCCTTACTTTCCTTTTTTCCTCCTTTTCTTCTTTCTGTTTGTGAATCAATGTGTGATCAAATCCTTACTGGGTCTCTTAATTTTCAGTGATAACTTTTTCTGCATTCTTTTTGTTTTTTTTTTTTTTTTGTTATTGAGACATAATTCATGTGATATAAAACATACCACGTTATAGTATATAATTCAGTGGTTGTTAGTATATTCACAAGATTGTGCAACCGTCACCACTATCTAATTCCAAAACATTTTTATCACTCACTCTCAAAAGAAACCTTGTACCCATTACCTTTCTCCTTCCCATCAGTCCCTAGCAACCACTTATCTATTTCTGTTTCTGTAGATTTGCCTATTCTGGATGTTTTATATAAATGGAATCATACAACAGGTGATCTTTTGTGTCTGGCTTTTCACTTAGCATCATGTTCTCAAAGTTTATCTATGCTGTAGCATGTATCAATACGTCATTTCTTCATTGCTAAATAATATTTCATTATATGGATATACCAAATTTTGTTTATCCATTTATCAGTTGACATATATTGGGTTGTTTCTACTTTTTGGCATTAAGAATAATGCCACTATGAACATTTATATATAGGTTTTTATGAAGACATATGTTTTTAATTTTCTTGGGCATATACCTGCAAATGAAATTGCTTGGGTTATATGATAACTTTCTATTTTATATTTTGAGGAACTTCCAAACTGTCTTTCAAAGTGGCTGTGCTTTTTACATTCCCTTCATCAATATATGAGGGTTCCAATGTCTCCACATTTTTGTCAGCACTTGTTACTGTCTGTCTTTTTATTTTAACTGTCCTAGTAGGGGTAAAGTAGTATCTCATTTTTGTTTTGACTTGGATTTCCCTATTTATTAAGATCTTGAGCATCTTTTCATTTGCTTACTTGACCATTTGTGTGTCTTCTTTAGAGAAATGTATATTTAAATCCTTTGCCTTTTTATAAAATTTAATGTTATTTAATTGAAAAGTTGTAAGAATTCTTTTTATATCCTGACTACAATACCCTTATAAGGTATATGATTTGCAAATATATTCTATGGATTGTTTTATGATCACCATTTATCTATTATTTCATCATTT